GTATTGTTAAGAATATGTACAATTAATAATAGACTTATCACTATCTGTACGGCACAAATAGCTAGTGACCTAAAGTCATTGTTGTTCACAGTGCCGCTGTGCATTCAGGAAGTAATGCTGTGCTACCACAGCCGGTTTCATGTGCTCTCCTTCCATCCCTTTTCAATCTTTAAACTAAAACCTTTTTTAAAACTATTAACAGTCAATAAAAGTATTAAGAATCGTGAAACATCCTAAATTTATGTAATTGCTTAACGCACAAAATAGTGTGTACAGTTTGACTCTTATAGAAACAGTAACACAAGATTTTTGTGGCACTAATAGCTAGCGACATGAAATCTTTGTTGTTCACAGTGCCACTGTGTAATCAGGAAGTAAACCATAGAGGAGAAACAATAATGTACAGTATGTGGAAAATAATGTGTTTTTTTAACTTTAAACCGCATAAACACATTTCATTACACCAAATACACAAAATAATGTTCTTTTTAGCAGCATCATATGACCCCTTTAAACACGTTGTACTTGCCACTGCACAGCTTGCATCAGTAATTGCATTTTAATCAAGTACACTCAGACCTGACGTCTGTGAACAAATGTCTACGACTGTCAGACAGCATATAAGTGAAAACATACCAGGAAATACATAGCACAACAGCACAGTTACCCTGTGACTCAAGACTAGCACAGTCGTTCCCCTCCCCCCACAGTGAATGTCAATGGGTGAGTGGAAAATTACCAACAGAAAGGGTCGTACCATTTAAAAGATATTTAGGGGTGGAACTGAAAAACGTACATAGTTCAATAATGTATTATAAGAAAATACTTTTTCCCCAGACAAGGAAAAATTTACATATTACTATACCATTGCTATACTAAACAAAACAACTATTAAAACTGTGGAATAAGTAGACAGGCAAGAGAAGTAAGACAGTTCAGCTAGGTGGCACATGACATCCACATGATGCGCAAAACATGTTATAGATATTATATTAAGGATCAAGAATTTTCAATAGCTTTCCATAACTCAGTCTTACTCTCTAGTGGTGAATCAACAGCTCAACTTCAACTGTTCAACTATATCTAGATGTTGCTCCAGAGGGTTCTGAACTCAAGTGAATGCTCCTTCAACTAGGCCCAGACTATTTGAAAAGAATGATGGACATCAACGGATGTTCTAAAGGATTTTCTTACGATCTCTTATAATGGATCTGTTCCATTCTAACAAGATGTATTTACTGACGTCTACTCTAATCCCTGGTAACATGATCCTGCAGGCCATTCTACCCGTCTTCAAATGTCGATGTTCACTAGTCCACAGAGCATTTCCAGCCAAGTGATGTAGTGTTAATAGTGGGACAAAATTTGTCACTGGCTTCCAAATCCCACAGTCTACCACTTAGATGATCAAAGAAATGTAAAAAAAAAAATGGTGAACCATGTTCTTAAGCAAAGCACAAGCCAAAACCAGCCACAGCATGTCAGTTTTATTTACAGGAGTCACATCTTCAAAGAAATCTCTTCATGAAGCTGTACAAACGCATAGCCTTTTAAGGTATACTCCATTTGATAGCGTGTGCGAACAAGGTCAGTCAACACGTGCACTAAATATTTTCATCCCAGGCTAATGTCTGTGCAATTTCTCTCCAAAAGTTATAAGCGACCCCATTCATAAAATCATGTTTTTTTCAGCTGTGAAACAACGGCTTGGGGCAGTGTTGCCACCTTGTAGACAAACTAATTAACGCAAACAAATTTAAGGTGCATGGAAGAGCTGCGCGTAAAGTACGCAAAAATCGTCTGGGCAAGTACAGTATGCACATACAATAAATCAAATCTTCTATTCATATGGTTTCAAAAGAAGCCAAAGTCATAGAACAAACAATTCATAGATTCATAGAACAATTATGAGTGTTTAAAATAAAGAAGGGACACCTTTTATTGATCATATTTAATAAGTTTGCTTTTAACAGAAAGGGTCATTTGTGTGATATGATTTTTTGTCAGTATTGTTGTTTGATTAAAGGGGTCATATGATGTTGCTAAAAAGAACATTATTTGGTGTATTTGGTGTAATGAAATGTGTTTATGCGGTTTAAGGTTAAAAAAAACACATTATTTTCCACATACTGTACATTATTGTTTCTCCTCTATGCCCCGCCTTTCTGAAACGTGTCGATTTTTACAAAGCTCATCGGTCTGAAAAAGCGAGGTGCTTACAGACTGTGAGTCAGAACAGCCGGCATTGTTGTCTACTCTCGCAGGATCATGAAATAGTCCTCCATAAAATGTACTGCACACATCTTAATATTTGGGTTGAACTGTTCTGGAACAGTGTTGTAAATACAACTTAACCACTGATTTGTAGTCGTGTCCTCTTTTGGA